CACTTTCTTCGGAAACTTATGGAGAAGTATAGAGACGCTCATAAGGATCTGCATTTGGTGTGCATTGACTTAGAAAAGGCATATGATAGGGTACCTCGAGAAGTTCTTTGGTGGGCCTTAACTAGGAAATGCATACCACGCAAGTATATCAACATCATCATGGATATGTATGAGGATTTTACTACAAGTGTCCGTACTAGTGTAGGGAGGACTGAAGAGTTCCCTATTACTATCAGAGTGCACCAAGGATTGGCTTGAGCCCTTTCTTATTTGTCGTAGTCATGGATGAACTTACGAAGTCAATTCAAGATGATATACCGTGGTGCATGATGTTTGCCGACGATATTGTATTGATTGATGAGACACAATCAGGTCTTAAAGCAAAGTTGGAACTTGGAAGTATGACGACAAACATTGGAGAATAAGGGTTTCAAACTAAGTCAGAGCAAGACAGAGTACATGAAGTGCAAGTTTGGTGAAGGTAGAAGCAGTGGTAATAGCGGAATTACTGTGGATGGTAAGGAGATACCAGTCAACGACATGTTCCGTTACTTGGGCTCCATAATTCAGAAGGACGATGAGTTAGATGGAGATGTATCCCATAGAATCAGAACAGGGTGGATGAAGTGGAAGAGTGCGCCAGGATTTCTATGAGATCGAGGTATGCCAACTAGACTGAAGGGTAAATTTTATAGGACTGCAATTAGGCCTGCATTACTGTATGGCGTAGAGTGTTGGGCGGTGAAACAATGTCACATTCAAAAGATGAGTGTGGCAGAGATGCGCATGCTGCGTTGGATGTGTGGGCATACTAGGAAGGACCGCGTGAGGAATGAGACAATCAGACAAAGGGTGGGAGTAGCACCTATTGAAGACAAGATGCGGGAGTCGCACATACGGTGGTTTGGTCATGTGCGTAGAAGACCGAGTGATGCACCCGTCAGACGAGTTGAGATGTGTGGAGAAGAGGCATGAAAAAGAGGGAGAGGAAGACCCAAACAGACGTGGGTTAGGGGAGTTCGAAGTGATATGCTTCTTCTGGGGTTGGATGAGGGCATGAATTTGGAGAGAGCTAAGTGGAGGGCGGGTATTCGTGTGGAGGAGTGATCTCGTATCATCTTTTCCCCTCATCTTTTTTCCCTTGTGTTTTATCCTTATATATAAGCATTATTTGTATCCTTTTTATTTTATCATTTTTATGTATATTCATCTCTTTTTATATTATCTTTTTTATCTTTATTTTCTTTCTTTTCCTTTTGCTGGTGATATCATGTATCGATTCATGTTAGCCGACCCAATATCTTTTGGGACTAAGGCTTGGATGTTGTTGTTGTACTAGTATCAACTATGTAGTATTAATTTCAACCATTAGATCTTAATTTTTTTGAAAGTGGATCTTACAACCTCACTTTTTTACCTGTAACACTTGTTGTCTATCGATTGAAACGAATAGTGGATACTAATGATCGAAACAAATTGGATCATAAACTTCATTTTTGACTAAATATACCATGTTAGACCGGTTTGATATGAAATCTACTCTAAACTACTTTAAATGAGCATATACAGATGGGAGATTTCAACAAGTAGGAGCAAAACGTACGGATTTTCCAAAACTAAGACCGAAGTTTAGCGTAAGACTCAACTACATCTGCATTGACCACTATACCTTTACTTTTAGAAAGTAACAGACATTAAATAGACAATAAATAGACAATAAGTAGACAATAAACAAACAATGAAGAAAATTGATAAATGTCTTGTAGGGATGTTCTCCAAATCAATTCACGATGCTTTGCTTTCCAGATACTTCGCCGCCCAAAGTTTCTGTTTCTTCCTTCGCCGTCCAAATCGATCACTTCACCCATGTCTACGCCTTCTTCCCTTTTGGAATTCATCAGATTTGTAGTTGAATTGCTAGAGGAAGCTCATCAGATTTCTAGGTGGTCTTGCCGGAGGATATGGCATCACCGCCAGTCGCACCAGAGGACACGACGGCGGAGGCGGTCTCGCCGACGGACACGACGACGGAGGAAGTAGCGCCGTGGGATGTAGAGGCGTAGCAGTGTCACTGGCCTTCGCACAAGGAGAACGAAGGAGAGGGCTGCGGTGATGTTAACGGGAAGGGTAAAAATGGAAGACAAAAATAAAGTTTCCTAAAATGGTGCTAAATAGATCCTACGCATGGGAAAAATATAGCTTAATCCTACTTTTGTAAAATTCCTTTGATTTGATCCTATAGAGAGCAATTTTCTCTATAAAAATAGAACTTTACTTTTTCTTTTAAGAACTACTAAAGGTGGGTATTGTATTAGGAATTAGTGGCAAAATTTTAAAAGTCCACGGATTTTAAAAATTTATGTGTATTCAATGTGGACTTTTAAAAGTTTACAAAAGTCTAGGTGTATTCAATGTAGACTTTTAAAAGTCTATAAAAGTCTAGGCGTATTCAAACTTCTGTTCATTTTTATTGACTTCTAAAATCATGGATTCTCATGGGCTTTTAACTTATTTGTAGTTCAATAATTCTTTGCAATTGTCTCTTCTCCTCACCAAAGATTTCCGTAGACTTTTCTGTTGTCTTTTACTCGTCACAAGTACGCATAGATTTGGTTGCAGATTTGACTAATTAATTACCTGTATCACAAACCGGCCAACAAGTCCTGAACCAATATCGGCCGGGTCAGGAGGTGGGTACCCGGATGGTCTCAATATGCAAGATTTGAACATTAAATTTTGATTTTTTTATCATTTTACGATAAGTAAACATGAACAAGAAGATTCTACATTAATACTGATACACAAGTAAACTTAAATAAAATTAAAAAGTGATATTTTATATGTCGTCTTACCTCTTACGAAGAAAATGTAGATGTGAGATTAGTTCAGTTCTTGAAAGAAAATTAGGAACCATTTGAAGAACCGTTAGTCCCATATCGACTCAGTTCTAGTAGTTTTTAGAAGAACCGATATAAGAAGAGAGAATTCCTTAAATAGGAGTAAAACCGTTTTGAAATTCCAAAATAGGAGTATCATGTTTTTTATTCCTTGAATATGAGTAATTTTCTGCCAAGTTTGGCATTACTGGACTTTAAAACATGGCATTTTTTTTCCAAACTTGAAGATTACTCTTATTTAGATAATAAAAAACATGATACTCCTATATTGGATCGAATTTCAAAACATTTTTCTCCTATTTAGAACAATTTCTAATATAAGAATCGAAAATATTGCAGCGGTGCAATTCTGTTACGTTGTCAGTTAATCATTAAGGAAAAAATATTTTAAACCGATAACACATGCAACAATGACTGTAACTATGTGTGATGATTAATGTTCTTATTACTCATTAAAAGTCATTAACTTTTTTAAAAGTCCATGGATAAAAAAAAGTCCACCACAATTCATATTCAATACACCCCCTTAACTTGTTGTAAACGCCTATAAATAGGTCATCAACCCTCTTGTAATCATGGACATTATTCTAATGATACTGAATTGTTGCCAGTTTCTCTCCGAGTTATTTTCTACCATCATGTTTTAGATTATAATGAATTAAGAACATTTATCCAAAATGTGGGATGTATGGTGTTATTTGTGTATAAAGAAAATCCAAAATGTGGGATGGATGGTGCATAAGAATATATCCTCTTTTCGGATGCCCTTATGTAGGAGAGCAAAAACGAGGTCAGTAACGACAATAATGAGTTATGTCAATAAGTATAATACTACTCTCTCCTTATTTTAAAACCTAGTCATCTTTCAAACTTCCCTAAAACTTTGTCACTTTTCAATTTAATCAATTAATTTGCGGTTTCTAATATTTCCCTCTTCTATGTAAAAATCTCAACCACACAATTTCACGTTATTATTAAAGAAATTGCTCTAGATAGGACTAAAATCCAGACAAAATGCATACATAGGATGTATCTTATTCCCGAAATATGACTTATTTGATCCAATTCAAGATATAATACTTCCCACATTAGAAGTGAATAAGTCTAGTTTAAGAAGAAAACAATGATAATTATATATATACATTTTGTTTACGTTTTAATCATATTTAAGAAATTATCAATATTAGTCAAACATGATAAAATTTTATGAGACGAAGAAAATGTCATTAATTATAATTTATAGGAAAAATTGATTGTAATAATCCCAACTATTGGCGGCCCGCTCATAATAATCCCAACTATCCATTATTTCAGAATAATCCCAATTTTAGGGACCTTCCACCAATAATGGTCCGATGTGACCGACTATAAATAAATTCCTATAGTTTCTAAAGAGATATAATAGGTAATCCCTATAAATAATCCCAAATTTTAATTTTACGCTTAATTTCTATTAAAAATTCACATGTTAGAGCAAGTAATATGCGGTAATGGACTATTATTAGCGGACGGTCCATGTAGTTGGGATTATACAAAAATAATCAATAGTTGAGATTATTGTTAGCGGACCGACAATAGTTGGAATTATTATTTTCAATTTTCTGTAAATTATAAATAAATAGTACCATGACCTGGGAGGTTGGCTTTGCTTGATTTTGTGATATCCTACGTACTCGGATATGACACTTTTCTTGTAACATTAATTCGTTATTTTCTTGGGTGTTAATACATATTTACATTTCATCAAAAAAAAAATAGTACCATAACACATTACTTTTGTAAGATGACGCTTATATATACTCTCTCCGTTCCAATTTGATTTGCAAAATTTTCTTTTTTGGTTGTCCCAAAATGGTTTTCAACTTTCTATTTTGGGTATGTAAATAAAAAATAAAGTGACAAATTTACCTTTACTTTTACTTTTTCCCCATTAATTTAAAGATATCTACTTTTAAAAAGATGAACAAAAGTGTAAAAAGAAAGCATTATTTATTGTCTTTTCTTAATCCTTATGCCCGTAAAAGTTTGTAATTCAATTCGGGATGAAGAGAGTATTTTATTAATACTCCGTATTAATTAAAGGCTGGCATGCCGGTCATTCGGTGGCACATCTGGGAACCTTGGAAATAATAGTGTGAGGGCTGGCGTGTTTGGAGGCTTTCTCCCCCTCCTCATCATGAGATGATGAAATGACAGGCATTTGAGCTGAGAGCGGCGGCCACAAGACGACGACGACGACGACGCACAGAGGCTGAGGAGCAGCAATCGCAATGGGTTCAGAGCAGTGTCACTCGGACAACGCGCATCAGACTTTAGGCATCCTAGCTACCTTCCTAATCGGCGGGGTGGTGCTAGGCCTCTCCGTCCTCGCCTTCTTCCTTGCTCGGGCAGACGCAGGGCGGAGCAAGAGCAAAAAGAAGAGGCCGATCAGGGTGTACATGGACGGGTGCTTTGACATGATGCACTACGGCCACTGCAACGCCCTCCGTCAAGCTCGCGCCCTCGGCGACCAATTAATCGTCGGCGTCGTTAGCGATGCCGAAATCATAGCCAATAAAGGCCCTCCGGTGACTCCTCTCAACGAGAGGTTTGTTTAGCTGCATCTCCGCTTTCACTATTCCATTTCTTAGATCCCTAATTCCCATATTTGTAGGGTGTATTGTATATGATATACGTAGTATGAAATAGTGTCAAATTTTTAGAATTTCGTAAATTTAGGTTTATATGAAATTAGTGTCGAATTTTTAGAATTTCATAATTTTAGGTGTATCGAATGAATTGATTTATATGAAATCTCTTTAAGAGTTTAGTTGTATTCAAATTTTAATTCATTCTTAATGAATTGTTGTAGAATTTTAATTCATTATTACATACAACCGGGATGTATTGTATATGAAATCAATGACAAATTTTTAGAAGTCTGTGTATTTTAAAATGGGGTGTATTGTATATGGAAACAGTGTCATTTTTTTAGGGGTGCTTTGCGCAGTGCTTTTTCCAAAAATATTACTCCGCATTTAAATAAAACTTATGAAAGAACACGTGACTAAAAATCACTATGAGTATAAACTCAATGTCACTATAGTGTAAAATTGAACATGACCATAGTCCCTAAAAGTTATTAATATAGTTACTTTTTATAAAAAGCCATATTTTGTCCATCCTCTTTATTTTAGCATATGAATTGTGTGAATTTTTTCTTCGTGGATTTTAAAAGAATCCATAAACTTTATAAGAAATAGACTACTTATGAATGAGTTCCATTGATTTATATAAACCTATGGATCTAATATGAATGATATTTATCAATTTTATGGAAATAAAAGTCTAAACAAGAACAATGTTAAGTAACATACATAAGCCTAATAAACATCATCAAGTACATGTTTACCCAAAATGGTAAGAAACAATAAAAACTCTCAAACGAAATAAAATATAATTCATCTAGTAGTGAAAAGTTCTGCAAGAACAAGTCAGATCCAAGCATCAAGTCAATTCTTTATCAAAGAACTCAAAATTTGATCTTGTTATATTATCCTAGTCAATTGGTAAGAAGTATAAATGTCGCATTCATTGTTGCATGCAGTTCGAGTTTAGGTGTAAAAGGTTCTTATATATGCGTGTGAGGAGGGGTGTAAAAGAATCTTATATATGTGTGTGAGGAGGGGTGATACAGCCCTGTTCCAGTTTACCCGGATGGTTCCGGTGCGATGCTAAGACTGTCCGGTCCATTTGTTTATACACACGATTATATGAATAGTATATGAACATGCAATTTTACATTAATGATAAATATATTTAATATGTTTTTATCTTCGTCTCCTTATTCATATATTATTTATCGTAAAATGATAAAAAAAATCCAATTTAAACTTGTAAACCTTGAATGTAGAAATCATTCTCACCCCCCGACACGGTACGGTCAAGGGCAGGCTGGTCGATTCGTTTCTGGAACCGGGTCCATGCGTATTTGTGACAAGTAGAAGGCGTAAGAAAATGTTTACACAAATCTTTGGGGTAAAGAAGAGAAAATAATAGAGAATTGTTGTAGGTAATAATGAGTGGAAAGTCCACAACAATTCGTAGTTTTACAATTTCTTAAGAATGAATTGAAGTTTGAGTATACCTACATTATTAAAGACTTTTTAAAGTCTATGTTCAATATAGCTAAACTTTTAAAATGCATGGACTTCTAAAAGTTTGTCACTATTTCCATGTACAATACACCCTCAGTTGTAGGTAATAATGAGTTAAACGTCCACAACAATCTATGCTTTTATAATAATTCCATAAGAATGAATGGAAGTTTGAATATACCTAAACTTTTAAAGACTTTTAAAAACCTATATTCAATACATCTAAATTTTAAAATCCATGGACTTCTAGCGGGGGTATATTGTATATGAAATTAGTGGCAAATTTTTAGAAGTCCATGAATTAGTGGCAAGTTTAGGTGTATTGAATATGTACTTTACTACTTTTAAGCCTTTAAAAGTTTAGGTGTATTCAAACTTCCATTGATTCTCATGGAATTATAAAATCATGAATTGTCGTGGGTTTTTAACTCATTATTACCTACAATCAAGGGTGTATTGCATATGGAATTAGTGACAATTCATTAGAAGTCCATGAATTTTGAAGGATTAAGTAGAAGCAGAGTATATGATATCCAAAGTACCTTTTATTTGCTCAAGCTTCTAATGAAACTCGGATTCCTTCGCTCAAAAGTTGGGCGAAGGATGACCTCAACACTTAAAAGTTGGGTAATTTGCAATCTGACGCTTGTGTATATCTGAGTTTGTTGGGCCGCGGGTATGCGGTGCCAGCAATCTGCCAGCCTGCCGGTGCAATCGAACCGCGTGGCGCTTCGCTTGTGCTATAAAGGGGGGGGGGGGGAGCGTGCTACACTATCAGCGATTGCTTTTAGTGTAGCGGTAAGCGCAACGATCCACAAGTGGTATCAGAGCCAAGGTCACGGGTTCGACCCCCGACAACAGCATGCTGCGCAGTTGAGGCTGACGGGTGCCAGCAATCTGCCAGCCTGCCGGTGCAATCGAACCGCGTGGCGCTTCGCTTGTGCTATAAAGGGGGAGGAGCGTGCTACACTATCAGCGGTTGCTTTTAGTGTAGCGGTAAGCGTAACGATCCACAAAGCTCTTTTGTGATGCACTATTCAAAAGAACTCTCATATCTTTGGTCACAACTGGGATTTTTTTGCTATGTTATTGTGGATGAAGTACTTCATGTTCTTCTATCAGACCCCTCAACCAATGTAAAATGTATACCTCGTCCTTGCATATTTGTAGGATGATTATGGTTAATGGCGTGAAGTGGGTAGACCAAGTTATTTCTGATGCACCGTATGCCATCACAGAAGATTTTATGAAGAAACTTTTTAGTGAGTACAATATAGATTATATTATTCACGGAGATGATCCATGCCTTCTTCCTGACGGGACTGATGCATATGCCCTTGCCAAGAAGGCTGGACGGTACAAACAGATCAAGCGCACAGAAGGAGTCTCAAGCACTGATATTGTTGGTAAATGTTTATGCTGCCTTTAAATATTTTGCATTGCATCCTCATTTCCATCTCAACCGGACGATAGAAGTTCCCATATTTGGGCTTGATGGACAGAAGGGCATCCCCCATATGCTATGGGACTATGGGTTATTATGTAGTGATAATCTTATCCATTTTCCACATTATTAACCACGTAAGACTAAAAGTGTTAGTCTGAATTTGGTTTGCACTTCGGCTTATAATTTCAAGAGCTATATGTTTCTCCTTTGTCTAAGTATAAAGTTATATTATTGCACATACGAGTAGGTCGAATGCTTCTTTGCACGCGAGAGAGGTCCACTGGTGACACCCCTAAAAATGCATCATTGCAAAGACAATTTAGCCATGGAAACAACCAAAAATCTGAAGATGGTGCTCATGGGAGTGAAACCCTGATATCTCAGTTTCTACCCACTTCTCGTAGAATAGTGCAATTCTCCAATGGGAAGGTGTGTTTCACTCTTTTTTTTTGCTACTTTTATGTTTCTAGGTCAGAAGCAATAAGCTAAATTTCTGATACAGGCATATAGCTTTAATCATTTAATGATCACTTTTTATGATAGTAATTCCCTCTAATGCTGCTCACTTTCACCCACATGTGTCAAACAACCTATTTCTTTGAGTGGGACAACTTGCAGCAATTTAAGAATTTTTTCTTTTATCCTTCTGTGCTCTCCATGTAAATCACTTGTCATTTCCTGCTATTGATTTTAAATGCGAACACACACTAACAAGAATATTCTACTACATTGTGAATTTTTTTGGTGATTGATATATTTTGGAATTTCAATTTAGGGACCTGGGCCTGATGCTCGCATAGTTTATATTGATGGTGCCTTTGATCTTTTTCATGCTGGACACGTAGAGGTATGTGTGATAATTCAGATTGAAAGAATGTTTTTGTTGCTGGTGCTTTCTCACATGATGGAATTAAATGTGCTAAACTGTACCACTAATACCATTTTGTAATATTCCTAATCGTAGTAATGCATGAAAGTTTGGTTCCGTTCATTACTTATCTACTGATTTCAGATATTAAGGGTTGCGCGGGCCCGTGGTGATTTTCTACTTGTTGGCATTCATACTGATCAAACAGTCAGGTAACCAATTAAACGTGCACTGCTTCACAAAGTGTCTTTGATGGTGATCACTATCCCATCATTATATTGTTTAAATTATTAAATACACACTGTAAGATGTAAGAGCGAAGTAACTAAATGGCTAGGCTGAGTAGTGAATCGTTGCAGTTACGCATCTGCAATCGGTGATATTCGTCTTGCATTAGTAAAATTTAAAATTTACATTCTACTCCGTATAATATTCTAATAATACTAGTCTTATAAGTCTTATATATATGAAGAGAATAATAATAATTCACCATAAGTTGTTACAGGCGTGGTTGGGATCTCATTTCAAATCTAGGAAATACATAATATGAGAGATAAATAATAAAATAAGCCTAAGCTAGAATTAACGGGTGCCCCACCTTGTCAAGACACACAAGAATTAATTCTTCCCAAGCTGTTCATTGAATAATACTGATGACCCATTGACCCTTATATAGTTATTACAAGAGTCCCAATTATAAAAGCAAATAAATGCTAATTAATAAGTTGTCTAAAACAGAATATGAATACTTACAAAAGGAGATAAATGCTAATAAAAAAGCTGCCTAAAAGATACACAAGAATAATACTAATAATAATAGGGAAAATCTCACTTTTGGTCCCTCAATTAGTTACCATATTGAAATGTCAGACCCGTGTTATGAGATTGTAAATGTCATCCCGAATTGACAAATGTGTTGTAATCCATCTCCCATTCTAGACTACCAATAAATTCACCGAGGATGACATTTACAACACATCTGCCAATTTGGAGGTGACATTTACAATCTCAGAAATACGGGTCTGACATTTCAATTTGGTGACTAATTGAGGGACCAAAAATGTGATTTTCCCATAATAATAATTGTAATAATAATAATATGAGGTTTCGTTGCTCATATCACACGTATCATAATTCATAAAGCAATAACATAATCAATCCTAATGCTTATAGTCTAAGTTAATCATCATTTGGTTCAAGATCAAAACTATATTCATCTTCATCTTGAGTGAGAATTTATTGTTATACAAATGATTAAAACCTAAAATTCGATTTATTGAAATCAATTAATTGATTTTTAATCACACAATGACTCCATTTCATTATCAATCTTTTGCATTAAACTATGACCGACTCACTCATCGAGTTACCAGAATCAAATCACAAAGTCGCTAAAATTGTTGGGTACTCGCTGAGTGAATTGGACCGAGTAGGTGGAGTGGGGAACAACTCGCAAGGTCCAGGATCGAGTAATGAGTACTCGGTGAGCACTACCTAATTAATAACATAGAACAAAGGTTAATATTAAAATGTAGTTTGGGATTTTATTTATTTACATTTCCCACCCCCAAATTAGGCTCTCCTTTGCTTTTAGCACTCTTATTGAGGAAGTTAAATTATGTGGTTAAAATTTATTTAGAAAGGGTCAAAGGGGAGAAGAATATGAACCACACGCTTCTCACCTTTAATTGGTAATGATAAGATGCTTTTGAGATAGGACCAAAAATGAAAGTGGGAAGCAATTGGGGACATAGGGAATATTTGTTTATTTTAATCCTTAAAATAAGTGATGGTAAAAATTTGGCTTCAAATAATTCACCAGATCTTTTACATGTGTAAATTTCAATGCGTAACAGATTGAAATGGAAACACTACGGACATGTTTACTTCACTTCTTAGGAAACAGTGCTAACTGACTTTGGCGTGAATTAGCATTGCTTAGTAAAAAGTGCTTAATAAACAAATGTTTACTTCACATCAATTAAGTTATGTCTCAACTCTATAGTGTCCTAAGGACCTAAACACTCCTCTTCCTTGTAGAAAAAAATAAGAGTGCATCACTGGCATCACTTTCTTTTTTCCTACCATCTTTCCCGTCAGAGTCTTCCTTCTTTCCTTTATCAAAGGAAACCAAACTTCCTTTTGAATCATTTGTTTTCGAGCGGAAAACTTTTGATTTATTTGAGATATCTCGTTTAAAGAGATCTGAAATTTTCTTTTTAAGTTTAAGTGTTTCAATTATATCTTCATTTGACCCGCCCTTACTTATTCGTTTGCATCAAGTGCCAAACGGAAAGTAGAATTGACTAGCCTATAGATAAATAGTTCAAATCTAGTTGAGAACATGACTTGATAAAAAAAACTCCAACCTGATGAAGATATCCAAACCTAGGATTGTGGGATACCAGTTGCAATATAAAACTGTTCTAAGAGAAGGAGGAAGTCAATCCATGTTAATTTCCTGGTAGGATTTAATAGAGGTCTATGGTTTAAGATTAAGTGGAAGATGAGGTATATCTTAATGCAGGAATGATTGAAACACATCTGACATGAAAAGAAATAAAAAAATTGTTATTTTTAATAAAGAGGGCACACTTGTCACCAAGAGAGCACCTCAGTCGACACTTAAATAATACATGGGGTCCTGCTTATTAATAACCTAACTATGGTTTTAACAATGAAATAAACTTGCCTTGGGTGTGCTAATTACTGTTATGGTTACTGTTACACAGAGGAGCTGTGAAGTTGATTAAAAAACAAGGAAGTGCCAAAGGAGTTTAAAATGTTAGTAACCCATATTAAACTTCTAGTCCAATTTTAAAAGGGTGTGTCAGATGTTGGTATGACTTATGCATCACAATGTTGATAAAGTGTAGGATTCAAGGTTTGACGTGATTTTAGTTTTTTAAATTATACTACGTACCATTTTCCAGGCATCAGACCTAGGTTCAAATCTCTTCACCTCTGTCCCCAACCTATCACCTGAAAATATATATTCTACTCTTTGATGTAGATCTCTTATGTTAAGATTTATTTCAAATATAGTTCTTGTGTAGGTGGTTTTGATAAAATGTTCTTGCATTATTTTCCCAGTTGTCTGGTTTTTCTAAGGGTGGTGCATTCATGATGCAGACTGTTATGGACTTTATTTTTAATAACATATATGCTCTTTTTTAAAACGTGTGTAAACTTCTAAGAGTTTTAGAGTTCATTTAGTCAATGACTACATAGAGCTGAATTGATTTATAAGACAGTACTACAATTCTTGTGAATGAAGCAAATCTGTATATTTTTTCTGGTTTTATCTATTGGATATTGTGGTGGCTAATGGATTTATGCCTTTTTCTGTTTCTTGCAGTCGCCACAGAGGTGCACACCGTCCAATAATGAATCTTCATGAGAGAAGCTTAAGTGTTTTAGCATGTCGGTATGTCGATGAAGTGATAATTGGTGCTCCAAGGGAGGTTTCAAAAGATATGGTAATCCTTAATTCAAAGCATTGTGGTGTCTTATAATTGCCTCTTCCACTTCAGCTCTGGTTGTGCTCTCAACGCCGGTTCACTTTTTTAATGGACGAGATCAAAAGACAAGGCATAAGGGATGAAAAAAGAAAGATATTGCTAGATTCTCTTAACAAGTGCTTTAAGCATATGTTCCCTTGAAAGTTGGCTAAAGCATGACTTAATTGCAGTGAATAATGTTATCTGCTGCTTTATGAATCTGTCATTTTGACTTTTACTCAATGGGATTTGTTGCAGATAACAACCTTTAATATCTCTCTAGTTGTCCATGGGACAGTAGCTGAGGATAATGATTTTCAGAAGGTACTATTATACTAAAGAGGCTTTTATCTATGTATCCATCTATTAATTAATTAATTAATTAATTAATTTAGACTATTGTTTTAGATATCATGTATGATATCCAACAATATTTAGAGCTTCATTCAGTAACTGATATTGTTGGTTTTACAGGAAGAGGGAAACCCATATGCTATTCCAAGAAGCATGGGCATTTTTGAAGTACTTGAGAGTCCTTTGGACATTACAACTAGCACAATAATACGGAGAATTGTATCAAATCATGAGGCTTACCAAGTAAGGATTATTATACCAGTTTGCCTCAAACATATGCAATATTGCAATAGGGATTCTCTACAATTTTGGAAAATTCTTTTCACGTGTTTGAAAAAACATTTATAAATTATATTTGATGGTAAGATTAGTAATTGATTCCGGGAGATGATATACAACTGTGATCTTTGATAAAGTAACTCTAGTGGTCCGGTGTGAAACTTAAAATATCTAAAAAAGTTTTTAATGGAGATATGCCTTAAAGTAAGAAAAAAGAAATAATAAATCATGTAGATTTAAATCATAATAATTTTTTATACTCAAATAAAAAGAATGTATATTTAAATCATGCATCCAATTTCCTAATGCAGAAAAACGCGCCTCACCTGACACTAGATTCGGGCCCTAAATGAATTGAATCAAACGAATATCCAAATATCTGGATTTGCTTTGATAAAATTTATCTGTACTTGAGTCTGGATTCATACCTTAAAGTGGATTCGAAAGTTCGAATCAAGGCTATTTTATCCGTTCAAATTTGATATGAATATTTTTTAGCATCCCAAGAAATAATTGAATGTTGATGCATTTAATCTGTTGTTTTAAACAATACACAGTAATTGAGCAACAATTGTGGATGCTAAGCTTGTTGTACATTATTACGTTTCTAGTATAGTACTGTAGTATTTTACCAAACACAAAATTCAAAAACGTTGTAGTCGGATTCGGATTCGATAATTATTCAAATATATATTTTCCAATCTGGTGTCAAATTTGGTAACAGAATATTGGAATTTGAGTTTCAAAATGTTTCGAAAAAATCATTCCGTTACAGCCCTAGTGGCTGCAAGCTGTGGTGGGGCAAAAAGCCTTCTACCCTAGCGATTTCACCACCTTACAAAATGACGTAACCATGCATGTAAAGCACCAAACTTCGGTGAAGTGGAAATGCCTTGTGTAAAATTTCACCACATCATAGCAAAAAATGAAAACAAGGGGGGCTAAAACCTATAATTTGCATTTTTAGTAAGTATTGTATTACCATTTTTAAAGATGAAGCAAGCATTTTAGACCACTGAGTGAGTAGACTTGCGATATTAACACATTTGATTTAATTTATTCAGAAGCGGAACGAGAAGAAGGCAGAAAGCGAGAGGAGGTATTATGAGGGAAAGACATACATTACTGATTAGCTGATTTTGAATAGGTAACTATGACTTTTGAGATAATACTATTATGTTCCTTCTTTTATTCCCACCTTTCTGTTGCTTATATGTAGAGTTGATTTGATGCCTTTGTATCTGGTGTATGGCAGTGTATGCTGACGAGGCGGGGCTATACTCGCACATTTAGCGTTGGCGATTGCTGTTGAAGATCTTTGTTCTCTTGTTTATTTCTGGGGTCTGTTTTATCGCCCCACTCTATTGATACCTTATCTGTATTCTTTAGCCTATACCTATGTCACAATCTGAAGTAGATAGCCACTTCAGCTTGAAAAGAAATTTAGTGTTTATAGGGGAGCATGTTCCCAATGAAGGTAAACCTTAGTTGCTGAATTTTTCAAAAAATTTTGTACCCAATTCATCTGTATATTTATATAAGTATGTAAGAGTGTTGATCTTTATTGAGATGCATATTCTGATTCGAGCGAATCACTTTTCATAAATTAGCTGGCATTCATTTTTGGCATTCACTTTTCATGAACTTTTCATATATTTTTTTTATTCATTTTTGTCTTGGACTCTAGGTGTGGTTGTTTCAAGGTCACCCAAGCTTCATTAATATTTAAATCTGGGTTCAGTTTGTTTTTGCTTTTACCATTTTGATTTTTGTAAAAAGAAGATGGTTTTTCAGAGAAGGTAGATTCATCATATTCACGCCTTCACGGTAATTCACCATTGGGAATTTAAAAAAGGGAAAACTGTCAATTGAGCCCTCGTACTATGTGTGATCCGTCAATTGAGTCCCGTACTTTGGAAACCCTCAATTGAACCCGCCAACAATGAAAATCCCGTCAATTAGGTCTACATAACCGGATGCTTCCCGGTTAGCCCGTTGCTCGCTCACGTGGATATCGCACATTGAGGGTTCCATTGGTGACATGGATTTAAAATTTCCACATCACTTAATGACTCTATCCTTGATTCCTTTCCCAAATAACACCGTGGAAAGGACAGAGACACAGAGTGTATCCCACCTTGGAAGCGAAGGTGAACTAATGGAATCCGCAAACCGCTGCAGAAATCCTGCACAGTGACGTCGACAGAGGTGAGGACAAGGTAGATCCCGTTTTTGTGGTCGATCGAGAAGGGCTTGGATCGGACCGCCTCTGCAATGACGTCCTGAATGGAGAGATGGGTGAGGTGGTGGCCCTGGGAGTAGCGGTGGTCGGAGTACTCATCGGCGATGCGGACGGAGTGGGATATGTTTGCACCGGTCTGGTCAGCGTAGAGAGTGACGGTGGCCCACCACTCGGAGACGGAGGGGGAGGGGGGGTTGAAGGCGGAGATGGAGCGGAGGAAGTCTTTGATGATGAGCTGCTGGGAGGGGGGCCAGCTTCCGTACCAGACAAGATAGATGTTAATCGGAGATGAAAGGACTGGGCCCATTTGATGATGTAGACCTAATTAAGTGATGTGGAAATTTTAAATCCATGTCAGCAATGGAACCCTCAATGTGCGATGTCCACGTGAGCGAGCAACGGGCTAACCGGGAAGCATCCGGTTATGTAGACCTAATTGACGGGATTTTCATTGTTGGCGGGTTCAATTGAGGGTTTCCAAAGTACGGGGACTCAATTGACGGATCGCGCATAGTACGAGGGCTCAATTGATAGTTTTCCCTTTAAAAAACTTCCAATAACTTGGTATTGAAAAACCTTCATATAAGAGTAGGGATGGACTAAACTGGCCCGGCCCGGAACCGGCCCGGCCCGCTACTGTGCGGGCCCGGACCGGACCGGGACTGGTTGGCCGGTTCCGGGCTTTTAGCCCGTTTGGGCGGGTCGGGCGGGTCGGGCGGGCCGGGCTCGGGCCCAGTTTTGGGCAAACCGGCCCGGGTGGTTCAGGTCGGGCCCGAGTCATTTTTTTTTTGTTTTTTCAATTTTTTTTCTTTTCCTAGGGTAGGGTTGGGTGTTTTGGGGAGGTTTGGGGGTGGGGGTGAGGAGGGGGGTCGGGGGATAACAAGAAAGCAAAAAAAAAAATTAGACATTGAATCGGGCCCGACCCGGTTAGGCCCGGACCCGGTATCAACCCGGGCTGGTTCCGAGCCCAAGGATTTGCAAAAAAAGCCCGCCCGGGTCCGGCCCGGAATCGGAACTGGACCAACCCGGGTCCATCCCTATATAAGAGGTTTTGGGAAGCTAAAGTGTCTTTATGTGCAACTGAGTATGTCCTCAGGTGTTACCGACGGATGAATGCTAGGGAAGTTGGGAAGGTGATTAGGGGTGTAGCCAAGATCAAAGCTAGGGATGGACTCGGGCGGGGTTAACCGGCCTGAACCGGTATTGTTACGGCCCGGCCTTGCCTGGTACCCGGTTCGGGCCACCCGACCCGACACTGTAGAGGGGTGGTTCCTGGGCCTCCCAAATGATGAATCGGCCCGGCCGGTTTGGGCCCGGTTCGGGCCATTTTTTATGTTTTTCAAAATTTTAAAAAGGTAAATGGGTTGGGTACTTGGGTCGGGTGTTTTGGAGGTGTTTGAGGTGTGGGGGGTGGGGGGTGAGGGTAGACCTGTCAACGGGTCGGGTACAGGTCGGAACGTATTATTCAGACTCGGACCCGGACCCGTTAGCCTCTATAGGGTTCCAGACCTGACCCATATACCTGGCGGGTCTAGAACTAATGTTCCGGACCCATACCCATTGGGTCTCGAAACCGGGTCAGGTAGACCCGACCCTTTTCACGAAAATCCAATTATAATTTCTTAAATAAAAAACAAGACCTCTTACTACCGAGTACTTTTCTGGCAACAATATGACACATGAACTATAATTACTTGTTTGTAATTACTCAACCAAACGTAACAATAGTGAGTTGGTTTATAATTTGCAAGATACATAGTGTTAGAATAAAAAGTAAAATTTAATGGCTTTGGAAACTGAACATGCTTTTTCTTGAATCCTCTGCGGACTCTAGTGTCTCTAGGGATCCTTCTTCGTATTTATTAAACTAAATCGGAATGTGGGTGACAACTTAATATGTATATTAGACTAGCTAATGTATATATATAAATAAATATTAACGGGTCGGGTCCTAAACGGGTCGGAACTACATATACCATACCCGACCCATTAAATAACGGGTCCGGATCCGGGTCCGGGTAACGGAATTAAATGTAGACCCATACCCATTAAAAAAAGACGGATCCGGGTCAGGTTTGGGTCTGGACCCGACCCATTGACAGGCCTAGGTGGGGGGTAAGAAGTAATTAGAAAAAAGGGTACCCGGCATGGCCCGGTACCCACCGGGTGGCTCGGCCCGAACCGGGCTCGGTAGGTACCCGAGCCGGTTCTGGGCCTAAGTTTCCCACAAAAAAGCCCGGTCGGGTGAGAAAGCGGTCTAGTGCCTAGCGGTTCTTCCACTTAAGGTTTTTTTTTTCCGGCGACAATCATCCATATTGAGTCTGTCCGGTGAGTTTCTTGGTTTCGGCGGCAGTCTTCCAGATTGCTTTTGTCCGGTGAGTTTCTTTGTTCCGGCGGTAGTCTTTCAGATAGTTTTTGCCCTGCGAGTTTCCTGGTGCCTCTTTGGATCTGTTAGATCATTGAATTAAATGAATATAGTGGGTTGGAACTACAGAGGTTTAGGCAATCTGGCCACGGTACATGTGCTGAGCGATTTGGTGAAGGCGGAGAAGTCAATGGTGCTCTTTCTGATGGAAACTAAGGCTGGTTGGCGGCGAGTGGAAGATGTCATGGGTTCTCTGGGATACAGAACTGGTTGTGTTGTTGAGAGCCGCAAATTGAGCGGAGGGTTAGCCTTAGTTTATAATTGACTCACATCAATTCTTTATAGACTGTTTTATCCAACGCAGTGAAGGTGATGCACAGCAGAGATTATTGGGCTTTTATGAAATTCCTGAACGAAGCAGAAGAAGGGAAGCGTGGGGTATGTTACGGGATTTGGCGAACATGAGTAATCTCCCTTGGCTAGTGCTTGGTGACTTCAACAACATAATGTATGCTAGTGAGAAGAGGGGAGGTTGTCCACAACCCCTATGGCAGATGTAGGGCTTCAGGGAAACGGTTTGAACTTGTGGTTTAAGAGACTATCCTTTTGATGGATATCAATGGACGTGGGAGAGAGGAAGGGGGACAACATCCATGGTAGAAGAGAAGCTCGATCATATACTAGTGAATGAGGAATGACAACTTCGTTTTGGAGCTGCCCGTGCTTGTTCCCTGGAGGGCATTGCTAGTGATCACTTGATGCTATTAGTGTGTTTACAGGAAGCTTCACATGAGTATAAAAGAAGGCCATTCAAATTTGAAAACATATGGATACGAGAGGAGGAATGTAGAACAGTTATTCAGCGAAGTTGGAATTCCAAGAGAGGGGATGAAGTTTGGCAGAAACTTCACCACTGTGGTTTACAACTAGATTGTTGGGGGTGAAGGCGTAGACTAAGTTTCTCTACCCGGATAAATATTTGTCATAACATATTGAAAGCATTACGTGGCCAGCAAGGGAGGAGTCATGAAGATGAGTTTCAAAGGGTGAAAAATACTCATGTGGATCTTCTTGAACAACAAAATATATTCTGGAAGCAAAGGGAAAAAGAGTTCAGGTTGAGGGAAGGAGACATGAATTCCAAATTCTTTCATAATTCGGTTAAGCAACGTAGAAGGATGAGTAGAATGGGTGGCCTGTGAGATTTGGATGGAAGTTGGGTTACTGATAGGGCCCGTATGAGCCAGCTGATTTGTAACTATTTCAAGACTCTCTTTTCAACTAACGGGCTAGTTAATCAGGAGGTTGAACTGTTGGGAGCTGCACGGGTAACGGAGGTCCAGAATAGGTCTCTGCTAAGACCATTAACAATCTCAGAAGTCAAGAAAACAACATTTGACATGCACCTAGACAAGTCTTCGGGACTTGACGGAATGAATTCGGGTTTTTTCCAACACTATTGGGATGTGGTGGGTATGGATGTGTTTGATTTTTGTGTCAAATGTTTTGAACGGGGGAGTATACCTGCGAAGATTAATAAAACAAATTTAGTCCTGATTCCGAAAATATCTAAAACTGATTGTATGGGGGATTGGAGACCGATTACCTTGTGTAATGTTATTTATAAAATTTTTGCAAAGGTTCTGGCGAATAGGCTGAAGGGTTTTCTCGATGAGTTAGTGTGTGAAAATCAAAGTGCATTCGTGCCGGGAAGGACAGTTGTGGATAATGTTGTTATTGCATTTGAGACTCACAATTTTTTGAAACAAAGGAGGAAGGGAAAACAAGGCTTTGTGGCATTGAAACTAGATATGAGCAAGGCATATGATCGATTGGAATGGAGATTCTTAAAGAAAGTTATGGAGAAGATGTGCTTTGATTTAAAATGGATCCGGCTAATTATGAAATGTGTTTCATCTGTTTCTTATTTTATACCTTTTGACAATTCTTGTATAGGGCCTATTGTACCGACAAGAGGACTCAGGCAAGGAGACCCGCTATCACCCTACCTATTTATTCTTGTTACAGAAGGGCTAAGCGCGCTAATTCGGAAACAAGAAGCCGTGGGCCGTTTAAGAGGAGTGGCTGTGTCGAGATTAGCTCCAAAAATTACCCATTTATTATTTGCATATGACAGCTATTTATTTTTCACAGTATAAGACTAATTCGGGCCAAATGATTAATTTTGATAAATCTAATGTCTCTTTTAGTGCGAATGTAGGAGCCAGTTCTCGAGATGTTCTATGCAGTGTTCTGGAAGTTAGTCAGGCGGAGTCCCAAGGGAACTAATTTTGTTTACCGGCTCTTATAGGAAGGAAGAAGAAAGAAATTTTGGCCTACCCGAAAGAGAGAATTTTAAAAAGGCTCCAAGGATGGAATAATAGATTCCTCTCAAAAGCGGGGAGAGAAATTTTATCAAAGACGATGATTCAGGCAATGCCTACGTATACAATAAATGTATTTCTACTTCCAGATGACTTGATCAATGAGATAGAGAGACTAATGAATGGCTATTGGTGGAGAGGAAATGACTTCTCAAGCAAAGAAATCAGATGGAGAAACTGGAAGGCGTTGTGTATGCCAAAGGAGTTTGGGGGATTGGGTTTTAGACGTTTAAAGGAGTTTAATATTGCTATGTTGGGCAAACTTGGGTGGAAATTATTGTCTGAACAGAGATCATTAGTTAGTAAGGTGCTGTAAGCTAAATGCTATCCCGAGACTTCATTTAGCGAGGCAAAGATGGGATATAACCCTTCTTTTATTTGGAGGAGTATATTAGCGGCACAAGAAGTTGTCTTGTTATCCCGAGACTTCATTTAGCTATCATACTACTATGGAGCATATGGAAGAGTAGAAATGGGATGGTGTGGAGACGAGACTCATTTTCAATAGAGGAGGTGCAACGAGTGACTATCAGTGTACTCACAAGCTGGAGGGCGGT